CAATGAAGAAGGAACACAGCCTCAGACTTCTAGCAGGTATGGTTCTGGAAGTATATCGCAATGGACACAGAATAATACTCGAAGTAATCAGAGATATGTTTTTAGACAGGACTGGACTGGACTCAGAACAGATGCACGCATCGAAACTTACGAACAACTGACAACAAGACAAGGAAGAGAAGGTAAGAAAAAGCCAAGATAATGAGGGGGGGGAACGAGAGACAGGTGAAGAGAGATGAGCCTAATGAAAAGTGATAACAGCTGTCAGTAATGAAAGTGAAAGCGGCAAGTGAGTGAGTGAACGAATAACCAGCAGGGGGAGACAGAGAACGAGCCAGGATCATGACAGTACCCCCTCCTCAAAGAGCGCCACCTGGCGCTCCCTAGGAGGAACCCTGGCGAGACCGGAGGAAAATCATCAATGAGCGAGGGGTCCAGGATGTCCGGGGGGAAACCCAGCTTCTCTCCTCAGGCCCGTACCCCTCCCAATCGACCAGGTACTGATGTCCTCGACCCCGACGACGCATATCCAAGATCTTACGGACAGTATAGACAGGAGAATCCTCCACACGGGACTGCCGAGAACGCGGTACGAGAAGTCGAGCGATTGACGGGCTTAACGCAGGAGACGTGGAAAACCGGGTGGATACGACGAAGGTTAGGAGGTAAATGAAGCTTGACGGCGACAGGATTAATAATCTTGACTATACGGAATGGCCCGATAAAACGGGGAGCCAACTTGCGAGAGTCGGACTGAAGAGGTAAATTGGAAGTGGAGAGCCACACTCTCTGGCCAACACAATAGCGGGGACTCTTAATGCGATACTTATTAGCCGAGATGCTCATACGTCTCCTAGTACGACAAAGGGACGATCTCACTCTCCTCCAAGTACGCTTGCAGCGACTGATGAACGTCTGAACGGAGGGACAGTTCGACTCTGTCTCTTGCGAGGGAAAAAGCGGAGGTTGGTAGCCGAGACAACAGTGAAAGGGTGAGAGCCCCGTGGCAGAAGATGGGAGAGAGTTGTGTGAGTATTCTGCCCAGGGAAGCTGCTCAGCCCAAGACGCAGGATTACGGAACGCCAGACTGCGGAGAATGCGGGCCACAATCTGATTGGCACGTTCGGCCCTGACGTTAGTCTGGGGATGAAACCCTGAAGAGAGGCTGACGGTGGCACCAATAAGACGACAAAATTCTTTCCAGAATTGTGATGAGAATTGCGGGCCCTATCAGAAACGACGTCGGTGGGCAAACCGTGCAATCTGAAAACATGATTAACCATTATCTGGGCGGTCTCCTTGGGCAGAGGGAAGCTTGGCGAGAGGAATGAAGTGCGCGGACTTCGAAAAACGGTCGACCACAGTAAGAATGACGGTATTACCGGCCGACGCAGGGAGACCCGTGATAAAGTCGAGCGCTATATGAGACCACGGACGAGTAGGAACTGGTAGCGGGCGTAACAGACCAGCGGGCGGAGAATTACCAGCCTTGGTCTGGGCACAGACAGAACAAGAAGCGATAAAGCGACGCGCGTCATGAACTAAGGTGGGCCACCAAAAGCGTTGGCGAATAAGCGCGATAGTGCCCGAACGCCGGATGGGCTGACAATTTGGAAGAATGTCCCCACTGGAGGACGGCTAGGCGAGTGGGCACCGGAACGAATTAAGGAGCCTCTAGGGCAGTCGCGCGGAGTGACGGCATGGGCAAGAGCACGCTTCACCTGTCTCTCGATTCCCCAAATCGCCGCTCCCACCACACGACCAGGAGGAATAATCTCCTCCCGGGTGGAAGAAGAGGAGGAGGAACCAAAGAGGCGAGACAGCGCGTCCGGTTTAACATTCTTGGACCCGGGCCGATAAGAGATGGAGAAGTCGAAGCGCGTAAAAAACAGCGACCAGCGAGCCTGGCGTGCGTTCAGTCTCTTTGCGGAACGGATGTATTCCAAATTTCGATGGTCGGTCCAGACGACAAAAGGAACGGAGGAACCCTCCAACCACTGGCGCCACTCGCCTAAAGCCAGGCGAATGGCGAGCAGTTCCCGATTGCCGACATCGTAATTACGTTCCGCGGAAGACAGACGGTGCGAAAAAAAAGCGCAAGGATGAACCTTGTTATCGGAGGCTGACCGCTGAGAAAGAACGGCGCCTACCCCTACCTCCGACGCGTCGACCTCGACAATAAACTGTCTAGTGATATCCGGCATGATCAGAATGGGTGCGGTGGTAAAGAGAACCTTTAGACGGTCAAAAGCCTCTTGAGCGGATTCTGACCACCTAAACAGGACTTAACTGAGGTCAGGGCGGTGAGCGGCGCGGCTACTTGACTGAAATTGCGTATAAAGCGGCGATAAAAATTAGCAAAACCAAGAAAGCGCTGTAACGCGACACGAGAATCAGGAACGGGCCAGTCAACTACCGCCTGGACCTTAGACGAATCCATACTGATTCCCTCAGCCGAGATGACCGAACCTAAGAATGTAACGGAAGGCACGTGAAAAGAGCATTTCTCAGCCTTTACAAAGAGGCGATTCTCGAGTAAGCGCTGAAGTACGCGGCGTACATGCTGCACATGGACTTGGAGGGAGGGTGAGAAAATCAATATGTCATCGAGATATACAAACACGAACACGTTTAGCATATCCCGAAGGACATCGTTGACAAGGGCTTGAAAGACGGCGGGGGCGTTGACCAAACCGAACGGAAGGACCCGGTATTCAAAGTGCCCGAGGGGTGTATTAAAAGCGGTCTTCCACTCGTCCCCTTCCTTAATTCGTACGAGATGGTAAGCATTGCGAAGATCAAGCTTAGAAAAAATCGTTGCTCCCTGCAGGATCTCGAAAGCTGAAGACATCAGTGGTAAGGGATAGCGGTTCTTAACCGTGATGTCATTCAGCCCCCGATAATCTATGCAGGGACGCAAAGAGCCGTCTTTTTTCTTGACGAAGAAAAAACCCGCACCGGCCGGAGACGAGGACGGGACAATAGTGCCAGCCCTGAGAGAGTCAGACAAATAATTCTCTAACGCCTCCCGTTCAGGAACCGAGAGAGAATAAAGTCTTCCCCGAGGGGGCGTGGTACCCGGGAGAAGCTCAATACCACAATCGTAGGGGCGGTGAGGAGGGAGAGAAGTGGCCCGGGAACGACTGAATACCTCCCGCAAATCGTGATACTCCTCCGGTACTCCAGACAAATCCCCTGCCTCTTCCTGAAACACAGAAACAGAAGACACAGGAGGAACAGCAGACACAAGACAATCAACATGACACGATAACTTCCAAGACAAGATAGAGCCAAGGGACCAATCGATATGGGGATTATGACGTTTAAGCCAGGGATGACCTAATACTACTGGAGTAAAGGGCGAACGAAAAACAAGAAAAGAAATAGTCTCTCGATGATTACCAGAAACGGTAAGAGTCAGTGGAACGGTCTCACTTAGAACCCTAGGTAGGGAACTACCGTCTAGGGCGAAAAGGGAGGTTGAATGCTTTAAATAGGTGAGGGGAATACCCTGCTGCCGGGCCCACTCCTCATCCACGAAATTTCCCTCGGCCCCAGAGTCGATCATGGCAGAGCAGGAGACAGATGAACTGGACCACTGAAGATGCACAGGTAGAGTAGTGCAAGAGTCTGAAGGGATCTCTCTAGAGATTGCGCTCGCCAGTAACCCTCCGCCTACTGACGAGCGCTGGCCTTTTACTGGGCACGACAAAGCAAAGTGGTCGGGAGCAGCACAGTACATACAAAGTCGATTAACCAGTCTCCTCTCCCGTTCCTTTGGGGAGATTCGCAGACCTCCAAGCTGCATGGACTCGGGATCCGGACTCGGAGAGGGTATAACGGAACCAGCAGTAGGCGTGGCCCCCAGGACGGACTCCATGCGGCGAGCTCGGCGTCGTAAGTCGAATCTCTTCTCCACTCGAATCGCCAGTTGAATGAGCTCGTCGATCCGAGCGGGGACCTCTCGGATAAGGATCTCCTCTCTCAGCTCGGAGTTGAGACCCTCCAGAAAACGAGCGACCAACGCGGGTTGGTTCCAGCCACAGGTGGTAGCTAGAGTCTGAAATTCTATGGAGAAATCAGAAACCGAGCGACTCCCCTGCCGGAGAGAAGACAGCAACCGCGAAGCCTCCTCTCCGTGAGCAGAACGGTCGAAAACCCGGATCA